TCTTTCCTCCTTGAGGGAGAAGTTGCTACCTGAGGCATTCTCTCTCAGTGCTGAGCTCTGCCTGCTTGGGGGAGGGGCTGACATGAGTAAAGTGAAATTGCTTCTCTTACTCATTAAAATGTGTCTGTTCTTGGCATTGTGTTTGCCTGATGTACTGCAACTTCTTAACTGGATTTGAGAAATCTCAGAAAGATATTTTGATCTTATGTTGTTGCTAAATTGGTGTTTCTGTGGGGGGGCAAAGGCTGAGACTTCCTGTTCCGCCATCTTGCTGACATCTGTCTAATAATTATTTTATTAGATATTCCACATTGGGAATGTTCTGCATTGTTGAGTGTCTGGATTTTGTTGTTTTCTCTTACAAGTATTGATTTTCATGTTGGCAGGCAGTTAATTTATTGAAGAACCTGCTTGATCTTCCAAAGCTTGTTTTTAAGCCTTTTTTTTAATAGCATGGTTTAGAGTATCCTTTGTTCTAGAGATAATTTAGCTCTACTAATAAGACATGACCCTTCTACAGTGTTTACTAAATGCCTTGGGTGTTCAATGATTTGTCACAACCTGAACATTTCCGGCTTGTGAGTTTTGGAAATTATTTGGCTTACAGCTCCTTGATCATTATTTTTTGCCCAGTGTTGGATAGTTTAATCCTAAAAATGCACCACTTAATGTTAACTCAAGGACACCCCACGTAGATTCATGGACCTTTTCTTTGTATAGCTTCCTCCTCTCTGGTCTTTCTCCTTACCAGTCCAGCCACCTCAACCTTTCCAAACTTTGATCTCTTTCTTCTCAACTTAGCATGATCACTGTATTTTGCTTGGGATCCTCCTTGTGATCTAGAAAATGTCTCCAAGCAGAACTTCAGGCAATTATAGGCCTCACTTTTCTCAGAGAATTGCTGTCTATTGTGCAATATTTGAAAATATTTTTTCATATATTTTGTTTAATTTTCTTCATTTTTCCCCTCTGTGGGAAGGCAAGTCTAGTACAACTACTCTATTGTGGTTGGAAGCAGAAATCCTCTTTCTGTACATCATTGTATTTCATCAGTTCTGTAATGTTTAATCATTATGTTATTATATTATTACCGCAATGCGTTCAACTATCAGGAGTAAAATAGGTAAAAAACAAAATGACTCTTGTAAGCATGCAACTGCTAAGGTGGTAAAAGTTGCATGGATGTAATAGGGTCTAACCCATCTGATATACATGAGCAGCGTTCAGAGTATCATGGATATCAGCCTGTACGTTTTTCAGAAGAAATTATGAATGATGTTTAATTAATCGAACTGAATAAAGCAGTGTGGTTAGGAGAGTTTCTGTTATACCAGATGATATTGAATGTCTATAAGTTTTCTTTTTTAGAACTTTAGGTTTTTTTTTTTTTTGTGAGGAAGATCAGTCCTGAGCTAACATCCATGCCAATCCTCCTCTTTTTGCTGAGGAAGACCAGCCCTGAGCTAACATCTATTGCCAGTCCTCCTCCTTTTTCTCCCCAGAGCCCCAGTAGATAGTTGTATGTCGTAGTTGCAGATCCTTCTAGTTGCTGTATGTGGGACGCCACCTCAGCATGGCCAGCCGAGCAGTGCGTCGGTGCACACCCGGGATCCGAACCCAGGCCACCAGCAGTGGAGTGCGCGCACTTAACCGCTAAGCCACGGGGCCGACCCCAGAACTTTAGGTTTTTGAGAAGTCAGCTCATGAATTAGCCTTTCTGTGGGGCTTTTCCTGACCCTCTTCTCTGTCCTTATATGTTCCTTTATCCATTTATTTGTCTATTTTCCTTATTGGCTGTGAACTTCTTGAAGACAGAGACAGCCTTATTTATTTTCATCTTAGTAACTAGTGTAGCTCATACTGCACTTGAATGATGAATGGAATGAATGCTGTCTCTTTTCTTCGTGGATGAATAGCTTGGGTCTCCACTTTACCAGTCCATCATCTTTTAGCTACACAAGACTTCAGAGGGAAATAAAGCAGTGAAATGATCCAGTCTATCACTTGGTCAAAGTTTAGAAGAAATTTGATCTCAAGTCAAAAGGTCACTTTTGAACCAAGTTGGAAAAAATCTTAAGTCACTGTGGTAGTTTATTGTTGCTTTCTAAAAACTTGTTTATTTTTAGGTTTTAACCTTTAAAAAATCAATTATTGTTCTTGCTTACAAATTCAAATAATCTTTTGCCTTTGTTGGTATTTAGAAAATATTATTTGCAAGTAAATGAAATAAAAACTATTTGTTTAAATCTTCTCTGCATAGTCATGTGAAAGGAATACATCAAAAACTTTCTCATGTTGTGGTATCTTAATCCCAGTGTACTTTTTCCAACCCCTTTTCTGGTCAACATAGATGAAGGCTTCCATTTGTGTTCCTTAATCAGCCATAGACACATTGCACTGGGTTGGGAACTCTGGATACTTGAAAAGAATACAGTGTCCATTCTCTTCTTAATGACCTTCTCTATTAGGTTGAACCATACGACATTGCTGATATTTGAAAGTTTTTGATTTGTAAAAACAACAATGTCATTTGAGTCTACCTCATAGTTAAAAAGCAAGATAGATTCTGAGAAAACATAAATAACCGTATAGAGCACTAAATTACGTTATGGTTCAGTCACTAAATAGTGTAGGATTTTGAAGGAATAGTCATTACCTTGGATGAGAAAGTTGGAAAAATCTTCAGAGAATAGAGTGTCAAGTTTCAATTTCTAATCAGCCAGGGGCTTCTACTGAGCATTCAGTTTTTTCTTGCTGTTGATAATTGAATGAACCTGGAAAGCCCATCAGATCAGTTGTCTTCATGTAGAATTTTTTTTCATGTACAAGTTTTTATTTGAATATATTTTTTTGATTCTTCTCGTCCCATGTTTCTTCTTTCAGTGAATTTTTTTATTGTTTTTATTTATTTTATTTATTTATTTTATTGTTTATGTTTATTACCCATAAAATTTACCATCCTAAGCTTTTTTTTTTGCTGAGGAAGATTTGCCCTGAGCTAACATCTGTTGCCAATCTTCCTCTTTTTGGTTAAGGAAGGTTTGCCCTGAGCTAACATCTGTGCCTGTGACAGAATTTCCTTTCCTTTTTTGTTTCTCTCAGAGTTTCCTTTTTAAAAAAAATTTTTTTGGCCGGCTGGCCTCGTGGCGCAAGCAGTTAAGTGTGGGCGGTCTGCTGCAGCAGCCCGGGGTTCGCTGGTTTGGATCCCGGGCGCGCACTGACGCACCACTTGGCAAGCCATGCTGTCGCGGCATCCCATATAAAGTGGAGGAAGATGGGCATGGATGTTAGCCCAGGGCCAGTCTTCCTCAGCAAAAAAAAGAGGAGGATTGGCATATGTTAGCACAGGGCTGATCTTCCTCACAAAAAAATAAATAAAAAAAATAAATAAATAAAAATTTTTTTGACATACAAAAGCTGTACATAATTAATGCATACAACTTGATGAGTTGGAGATAAGTCTACACCCATGAATCATAACCACAGTCTATGCCATAAACCTCTCCATCACCTCCAAAAGTTTCCTCCTGCCCTCTTATTTATTATTATTAGGGGGATTTTTGTGATAAAGCACTTAACATAAGACCTGCCCTCTTAACAAATCTTTAAGTATACAATACAGTATTAACTATGGGCACTATGCTGTACAGTAGATCTGTAGGACTTATTATCTTGTATAACTGAAACTTTGTACCCTTTGACTAATAATTCTCCATTTCCCCCTCCCATAGCCCCTGGAAACCACTATTCCATTCTCTACCTCTATGAGTTTGTTTTATATTTGTCATATAAGGGGTATAATGTAGTATTTGTCCTTCTGTGTCTCGCTTATTTCACTTAGCATAATGTCCTATAGGTTCATCTGTGTTGTTGCAAATAGCAGGATTTCCATCATTTTTAATGCTGAATAATATTCCATTGTGTGTGTGTATGTATATATATATACACACACACCACATTTTCTTTAACTCTTTGTCCATTGATAGACATTTAGGTTGCTTCCATGTCTTGGTTACTGTGAATAATGCTGCAGTGAACATGAGAGGATAGATACCTCTGTGAGATCCTTATTTCAATTCCTTTGGATATATACCCAGAAGTGGGATTGCTGCATCATATGATAGTTCTATTGTTAGTTTTTTGAGGATCCTTCCTGCTGTTTACCATAGTGGCATTACCAATTTACATTCTCAATTACAGTGTACCGGGGATCCCTTTTGTCCACATCCTCACCTACTTGTTATCTTTTGTTTTTTTGATAAAAGCCACCCTACCAGGTGTAAGGTGATATCTCATTGACATTTGATTTGCATTTCCCTGGTGATTTTTGATGTTGAGCACCTTTTCATATACATGTTGGCCATTTGTGTATCTTTGAAGAAATGTCTATTCAGTTCCTTGGTCCATTTTTTAATCAGGTTATTTGGTTTTTTTTGCTGTTGGGTTGTAAGAGTTCCTTATATATTTTAAATATTCACCCCTTATTAAATATATGATTTGCAAATATATTCTCCCATTCTGTAGGTTGCCTTCTTTTGTTGTTGATTGTGTCCTTGCTACGCTGAAGCTTTTTAGTTTCACATAATCCTGCTTGTCTATTTTTGCTTTTGTTGCCTGTGCTTTTGGTGTCATGTCTTTTATTTTTAAGGCTGAATATTATTCTATTCTCTGTCTATACCACATTTTCTTTATCCACTCATCTATTGATGGACATTTGGGTTGCTTCCACGTTTTAGCTATTGTGAATAATGCTGCTGTTAATATGAGTGTGCAAAAATTTCTTCATGACCTTGCTTTGAGTTCTTTTGGATATATAACCAGAAGTGAGATTGCTGGATCATATGGTAGCCCTATTTTTAATTTTTTGAGGAACCTCTTCATGTAGAACTTTTCACAAATTTCGTTGCTATTGCTCCTGTTAGGCTGTATCTGAAAATCTTTACTTGGTTAATATGATGGACCTTCTTGATTAATACAGATTTCTTTTTTTGCATATCCAGGGCCCTTGCAGAAGCTCCACCATCTGTAAACAACCTAAAAAGTGAACTTGGTGATAAAGGGAAGAATAAAGATGAAGGGGAAGTTCATAACCATGAAAAAAAGGCTGCAGATATTTGTCTTGAGCCTTGTCCAGAAGAGAAGAAGAAGAAACGTTCTGGATTCAGAGACAGAAAAGTATGGAACACAGTCTTATAAATTAATCAGAACTATAGTTAATCCTAAATTAGAGTAATACAGTTGAGTCTCTTTTATCATGTATTTCAGATAGTTCATATTCACTTTGAAGTTATTCATCTCTTTGCTATTTTTCGTCATGTTCTGAGGCAAATGTGCTCTTGGAATGTGAAATTTATGGAGGTAGAGAAAAGGATCTAGGATTGGTAATCAGGATTAGCATATATATGTATCTTTTTCAATTCAGCTACCTAAGGTGATTCTTGCTTTCTGAATCTTTCTGATACTAAATGTTCTCATATATGTTGAGTATTTGTGGTATTACTGGTCTATGATGCCAAGTTGTAAAGGCAGAATAAAATTGTTTTGGAAATATGTAAATATTTCCAGAAAATCAACTAATTTTGAGGACAGCAGAAACTTTAAATGAATTTGGCATTTTATATCTTTAACACAACATGCTGTTATGTAGGTCTACCTCTGAAAAGTTTCAGTTCCGCTATATAATGCCTATGATATTGGGCAGTTGAATTCAGCAGACATGAATGATGAAAAGTCAAAAGAGTGAATTTCGTAGACATTTTGTATGTTAATGTTAAAATTCAGGGAATTGCCTTTGCTTGCTAAAATATAGCTAGTCAATCTAACAAGGTAATTTGAGTTATGTCTGTGTCGTGTATGTGTGGTATATATTTGCAAGAAGAGTTCCTTAGAGAAATTTGGATTTTCTGTTTGTCTGTTTGGTTGAAGTTTTATTAAATATGTCTTCTCAGTTCCCAAATCCATTTCTGATTGAGGTGAATTTGAACAAAACTTATGTATTACAAGCTAATTGTCAACTATCCCAGTGTTTCCACAATGATATGTTTGTTTAATCTTTTGCCCTGAGTGAATCTGAGGAAAGTTGAAATTTACCTTGTGCCAGCAGTTTCAATTACAATCAACCTTTCCATTTTACAAGGTAAAGCTAAAATGACCCAAATAAACATTTATTTTTGAAACTTCCATTTTTTACTGTCGCTTTCTGCTCAACAGATGACCATATTTTATACTTAACAGAAAAAATTAAAGCTATCAGTGTAATTTACTTAATTTGTAACTCCAATAGTATAAAACCTTGCTAATCCATGTCTGAAATGATTCTTATTTCTTTCACTAAAGTCTCATTGGAAGAGCTATGTTTCCCCTGTTCAAGGATAACCATTTCACAGGTCAGCCTGTCTCCCCAAGAACCTGTTTCAACACTTACTCTTTATCTATCCTGTTTTCTCAGTTACTGTTTGTCTCTTCATCCTTTTACATAGTCCTCATAGACATATTAAAGATTCTTCTATCTTTAATTAAATAACAAACTGCATTTTTTATCATGCATTTTTTTTCTAGCTACTTCCCAGTCTTTCCCTACAAATATCAAACTGCTCCAGTCTCTACATGCTGTCTCTGACATCCTCACTTTTCATTTAAACTTTTTGCTTTTGTACTTTTATGTTCTCTTGATTTTTATGTAATATTTCAAATATGCAGAGGAAAAAAATAGAGACTACTGTAATGAACATACATGCACTCAACACTGGTTTTTGTCAAGTTTTAACAGTCTGCTGTATTTGCTTTGGGTTTTTTTAAAAGAAGAAATGAAATGAATATTAAAAAATACATTGCTGTATACTCTCCTCAATCCCATTTTTCTCTCCTCCTCTTCAGAGGCAAACCAGTATTCTGAATTTACTATTTATTATTCCCATGCATGGCCTCATTATTTTGTGTGTTTTATTTTATTTTAATTAACAAAAAAAATTCTCAGGTGCAGAGAGTTAGGACACTCATATCACTTGGTTCATGGCACGCTATTGTTAGTTTGTGCATACTTCTCTCTTTTATTTTATTTTGTTTCATTTATTTATTTTTTTATTGATGTCATAATAATTTATAACATTGTGAAATTTTAGTTGTACATTATTGTTTGTCAGTCACCATATAAATGCGTCCCTTCACCCCTTGTGCCCACCCCCCAACCTCTTTCCCCCTGGTGACCACCAAACTGTTCTCTCTGTCCGTGTGTTAGTTTATCTTCCATATATGAGTGAAATCATACAGTGTTTGTCTTTCTCTGTCTGGCTTATTTCACTTAACATAATACCCTCCAGGTCCATCCATGTTGTTGCAAATGAGATGATTTTGTCTTTCTTTATGGCTGAGTAGTATTCCATTGTATATATACACTACATCTTCTTTATCCAATCATCAGTCAAGGGACACTTACGTTGCTTCCTCATCTTGGCTATAATGAATGATGCTGCAATGAACATAGGGGTACATAAGCCTCTTTGGATTGTTGTTTTCAGATTCTTTGGATAAATACCCAGAAGTGAGACAGTTAGATCATAAGGCATTTCTATTTTTAATTTTTTGAGGAGTCTCCATACTGTTTTCCATGGTGCCTGCACCAGTTTGCATTCCCACCAGCAGTGAATGAGGGTTCCCTTTTCTCCACATCCTCTCCAACAATTGTTGTTTTTTGTTTTGGTGATTATAGCCATTCTAACGGGTGTGAGGTGATATCTTAGTGTAGTTTTGATTTGCATTTCCCTGATGATTAGTGATATTGAACATCTTTTCATGTGCCTTTTAGCCTTCTGTATATTTTCCTCAGAAAAATGTTCATATCCTCTGCCCATTTTTTGATCAGGTTGTTTTTGTTTTTTTGTTGTTCTGTTGTGTGAGTTCTTTATATATTATGGAGATTAATCTCGTGTGAGGTATATGATTTGCAAATATTTTCTCTCAGCAGGTGGGTTATCTTTTCATTTTGATCCTGGTTTCCTTTGCCTTGCAGAAGCTCTTTAGTCTGATGAAGTCCCACTTGTTTATTTTTTCTTTTGTTTCCCTTGTCCAAGTGGATGTGGAATTCAAAAAGATCCCTCTATGACTGATGTCAAAGAGTGTACTACTGCCTATATTTTCTTCTAGGAGTTTTCTAGTTTCAAGTCTTACCTTCAGGTCTTTGATACATTTTGAGTTAATTTTTGTGTACGGTGAAAGAAAATGGTCTACTTTTATTCTTTTGCATGTGGCTGTCCAGCTTTCCCAGGACCATTTATCGAAGACTTTCCTTTCTCCACTGATGCTCTTAGCTCCTTTGTCGAAGATCAGCTGTCCGTTGATGTGTGGTTTTATTTCTGGGCTTTCAGTTCTTTTCCATTGATCTGTGTTTCTGTTTTTGTACCAGTACCATGCTGGGTTGTTTTTTTGTGTGTGAGGAAGATCAGCCCTGAGCTAACATCGGTTGCCAGTCCTCTTTTTTTTTTGCTGAGGAAGATTGGCCCTTGGCTAGCATCTGAGCCCATCTTCCTCTATTTTATATGGGACGCTGCCACAGCATGGCTTGATAAGTGGTACATAGGTCTACGCCTGGGATCCGAACCTGCGAACCCTGGGCCGCTGAAGTGCGGTGTGCGAACTCAACCACTACGCCACCGGGCTGGCTCCATACTGTGCTGTTTTAATTATTATAGCTTTGTAGTATATTTTGAAGTCAGAGATTGTGAAGCCCCTAGCTTTGTTCTTTTTTCTCAGAATTGCTTTAGCTATTTGGGGTCTTTTTTTGCCCCATCTGAATTTTAGTATTCTTTGTTCTATTTCCATGAAGAGTATCATTGGATTCATTTTATGTAGTATTTCAAATATGCAGAGAAAAAAAATAGAGACTACTATAATGAACATAGATGCATCCAACACTCGTTTTTGTCAAGTTTTAATATTCTGCTATATTTGCTTTGGTTTCTTTTAAAGAAGAAATGAAATGAATATTAAAAAATACATTACTGTATACTCTCCTCAATCCTATTTTTCTCTCTTCCTCTTCAGAGGTAAACCAGTGTCCTAAATTTACTGTTTATTATTCCCATGCATAGCCTCATTATTTTGTGTGTTTTATTTTAATTAAACAAAATTCTCAGGTGCAAAGAATTAGGACACTCATATCACTTACTTCATGGCATGTTATTGTTAGTTTATGCATGCTTCTCTCTTATTTTATTTTGTTTCATTTTTTATATTTTTATTTTTAATTTCATTGTCCTTTCTGAAACTTCAAGTCCTCAATTCTGGAAAATTCTCACACATTGCTTCAATATTTCTTCACTGTCATTTCTTTTGGAACTCTGTTAAATGTATGCTGGATCCTCAGAACCTGTCTTCCATATGTTTTAACTGCTCTTTCATATTTTTTCTCATTAGTTCTTCACCTACTCCTCTGGACTCTCTCTTCTTTTACTTCCAATTATTTTTTATTGTGGTAAAATACATATAACATAAAATTTACCATGTTAACCTTTTTTTTTGTTGTTTTTTGCTGAGGAAAATTCGCCCTGAGCTAACATCTGTTGCCAATCTTCCTCTTCTTTTTTTTTTATGTGAACCACCCCCACAGCATGGCTACTGACAGACAAGTGGTATGGTTCGGGAACCAAACCCCAGGCCCCCAAAGCAGAATGCGCTGATCTTTAACCACTAGGCCACCAGGGCTGGCCCTGTTGACATTATCTTTTGATGCACAAAATTTTTAAAATGTCATGAAATTCACTTCATCTTTTTTTTCCCTTCGTTACTTGAGCCTTTGGTGTCATATTCAAGAAAACATTGCCAATTCCAATGTCATGAAGATTTTGTCCTATTTTTTTCTAAGAGTTTTTTAGTTTTAGATCTTTCATTTTGGTCTATAATCCATTTTTTTAAAAATTTTATTTATTTATTTTTTTTGCCCCAAAGCCCCGGTAGATAGTTGTATGTCATAGCTGCACATCCTTCTAGTTGCTGTATGTGGGACGTGGCCTCAGCATGGCTGGAGAAGTGGTGCGTTGGTGAGCACCCAGGATCTGAACCCAGGCCGCCAGCAGCGGAGTGCACACACTTAACTGCTAAGCCATGGGGCCGGCCCTATAATCCATTTTTTTTTTTTTTAAAGATTTTATTTATTCATTTTTTTCCCCCCAAAGCCCCAG